CGTATAATCGGACGAATAAAATATATTAATCGTCCGGTAATAACATAAATAAATAATAAAAAGATTATCGGACTCAAACTCAACAACACAACCCAACCGACCCCGCCCCATTGGCCCCCCCCCCGCCCCATTGAACAAAAAACCCAACTAAAATGGGCAAATTTATGTTACGATAAAAATAAAACACTTTTTAACAAAGCAACAACAAATTTATGAAATAAAAAAAGTTCGACAACTTCTAGTAGATTTTATGTTACGATAAAACTAAAACAAACCAACCAACCCAACCCAACCGAACACTGTTTAACAAAGAAACAACAAATTTATGAAATAAAAAAATTCGACAGCTTCTTAGTATCGAACCCGGGACCTCTCGCATGACAAGCGAACGCCCTACCATATAAGCTATCTAGCTTGTTGTCAAATATTAAACGGTCGGTGAACAAAAGCGAATTATAATTATGACGTAACTAACGTTATGTTATTACCGGACGAATAATATATATTAGTCGTCCGTATGTTCGGACGATTAATATATTTTATTCATCCGATGATCGGACGATTAGACAAGTCGTTAAATTATTTTGCATTCAACATTTTCCAAAAAAAACCAAACAAAAAACTAATGAGCCTAGTTTAACCGATTAAATTCATAGTTCTCGTGATATAATATATGATAAAACTCCTGCCCGTGATTTCTCAGCGACAAAATTATGGTTTGGTACTTCTATTGTTGTCAGTTTGACAAACAATAAAATTAAGTTGATATTAAAGTGATATTATTACAAATCCAAGGTGTTTTATACTTCTATTGTTGCCAGTTTGACAAACGTCATTGTGAAATAATGAATCCACGCGCAAATTCACGATTTGGGTGCCATTCAGATGAACAAATAAAAAAATTGGTTTCAGAAAATATCCCATTAAATACTCAGAGGTCCAGAAGCTCTATTTGGACCCAATTCTCAGAATTCCTACGGGTGAGAAATTTTACACTGGAAAAATGTACTACCGCGATGGAACTAGCAAAAATTCTGGAAGATTACGCCTTTAATATGAAAAAATTCAATGGCGAAGACTATAAAGAGTCGTCTGTAAAGTCTATGTTGAATTCAACTGCAAAAATGGTACAAGAAAAATATTTTACGGAATACGGCATAAAAATCGATCCATTCACGGATATATCTTTCAAATGTTCAAGATTGGCCAGAGATACCAAGCGAAGGCAGCTTCAAAGTTGTCCAGAAAAAAGAAAACTTAGTTCAAAAGCATTATCCACCGAAGAACTTTTAAAAATGATCCAAAGCTACGACGAAGAAACCCCCGATGGACCACAAATAAAGTTTTTTCACCTCTGCTCATATGAACTTGCTTGGAGAGGCAATGAGGCCGTAAACTGCAAGATGCACTTTTTCCAGAAGGAATTTAATAATATGGGAGAATTTACGAGCAGAATTGAATACAACAGCATTTTTTCGAAAACAACTCAAGGCGGGTCGAAAAGTTTGGCAAGCAGCAAATGGTTGGTAAGAAATTTATCAAACGAAGATTTATGCCCAGTTAGATTATTCTTGAAATTAATGGAAAAAAGAGGACCAAATATTTTATCAGACAGACTTTTTCTTACCGTTTACCCCAACTGGAAGAATGGATCTTGGTTCAAAAACTGTCCACTTGGAATCAACATCGTATCTAAGTGGACAAAGATGTCAGCTGAAAAAATTGGAATAGACACAAAAAAACATAAAATAACAAACCATTCGCATCGATCTTCAGCTGTGTCAGCCTTGTTTAAGCAAGGTGTTGCTGAATAGGAGTTAATTAAATTAACGGGTCACTCACTCAGCTCCCTAAAACCATACCTGCAGCTGGATTCTAGTCACCACCAGAAGTTGATCGAAAATCTCCGAACAACAAATGAAGCTGGACCTTCGAGTTCCCACATGCTACAGGTCAATAATACACAAAATCGTGCTTTGGTAGAAAAGAATGGGCAAACTACCATAACATATAATAATGGTACATTTAATATTAACAAATAAATTAAGATTACATGTTTCGTTAATATGATGCATTAATTGTCTCGTTTTTTTCTCGTGAAATAGTCTTGTCGAATATCACTCGAGAGAAAATTTTTACCGGCAAAATTTTCTTCTGGTTTCATTCAAGTTTGTTGCTTTTTGGCAATTTTCGCTCATGAAATTTTGACAAAATCCCTCGACTGACGTCTCGGGATTTTGTCAAAATTTCATTCTCTAAAATTGCCAAGCAACAAACTTTCATACCAGTCGAAAATTTTGCCGGCAAAATTTGTTCTCTTGTGATATTATATACGAGAAAAAATGATGGATAGCAGCCTGGAAAATCTCAAATATTTTCAAAAATGTTTTTAGTAACATAAATATAAATTAAAATTACATTTTTACTTTTTTGTAAAACAAAAGGTTTTTATAGATAGCAACCACCGAAAAATTGTTGTTTGAAACTCGATTGCAAAATTCTTTTGAATTTACGAAAAAAAATATCCTGGAAATCAAAAATGGCATTTCGCAATTAGCATCAAAATACCTATTTCCTCAAACGTCAATAAATGTCATTTTGAGGCACTGGTGTTAAGAGTAATTTACTTTAAGCATGACGTCAGGGGCGTAGCTATCGCGGTATCAGCCGTATCAATGATACGGCTGGGGGGGCCCGATTGGCTTCGACATGCGTAAGCAAAAAACCTATTACCCACATATTAAAGTATTGGGACATGAAATTAAATAAATAAATAATATTATTATTTAATTGTTTATACTTCGATATATTAAATTAAAATTTTCCTGAATTCCCTCCTGTTCCAACGAGGCCGTCAACTCATACGAATTGTTTCTGCCCGCACTTTTCCGCCATGCGTTGTCTGCGGCGCAGTCTGCGCATATTGTTCTGTGCTCTGCGTCGCATTCTGAGTCTGCTTTGCGTGTTATTATCTTGGTATATTAATATCAAATTAGAAATAATTATAAGCGTTACAATTATTTCAAATTACTTGCCTTTATTTTAAAATAGAAACCTTTTAAAACATGTTGAAGAACGCTAAATGTCCAAAACCAGACCAAATTTTAAAATTTGCCTGTACATGAAAAGCTAATAAGCTATAAGTATACATATATTATTTATTAAATTATAAAAAATTGGTAAATGCAAAAAAATTTTTTGTTTGCCCAAAATAGACTTTGTGCGTGACACCCAGAATTTTTTTTGCCAGCAGCTTTTCCCGTATAAGGGCCCCTACCAGATTTTTGATACGGGGCCCCCCGAGGCTAGCTACGCTACTGCATCACGTGATTACTTTTAACACTGGTGTGAAAATACAAACAAAATAATCTAGTTGTCGATTTGTTCCCTGGTTAATAATTTAGACTTTTTCGGTTTTTAGGGCGATATCCTTCGCCCTTCGCTAAAAAAAAACCAACAAGCTGGTAATATTTGCATATGTCCATAATCGCCTTGAAGTTTAAGGCTTAAACATGAAAAAATAGTGTAATTATTTTGTTAAAACGGAAGTTTTTCTTCGAACTAAATAAATTGATAATTTTTATAATTTAAAGTTAATAATTATAGAGTTTAATTAAATTCTATATACAGGGTGTCCCAGAACTCGCGCCACATAGAAAACCGGAACGTGCCGAAAGTAACGTGAAACACATATTTGAAAATTAAAATTGTCTAACGCAAAGGATAAGCGAGATAAGAATAAAAAACGATAGCCAATCCCAATAGATGGCCATAGGGAATTCTTTAAATTGCTAGGATACTTAGGTTGCATTGTTGATAATAAAAAATATGTAAAATATTTGGTCCACTGGAATCCAATTCATTGTGACACTGCTGTCAAACTCCTGTCATTAATATTATATTAGGTTATAAATTAAGTTATTATAAATAATGTTTTCCTTAGATGATTATACTGAAATGATAATTATTTATTTATTTAGTGTGGGCGCAACGCCAGGGAGACAACGCGAGTTTTTTCCCAGCCCTTTCCTAATCGTTATTTTAAAACATTGGCGTTCTGAAGTATAAGTCATAGATTAATAACCTTATTTTTGAAAGCTTTTGACAACTTAGTAAATACAGTTGGCCAAAAGATTTTTAAATGTTTTTTATACAACAATGTTCTATCGTCTCCTAGCAATTTTTAAAGCTCTTACGTTTAACCTAGCCGCTTTTTTGCTCTCATTCGATTACACTATTACCTAGAAATTTTTTATTTTTAAATTTGGCATCTCCATTGCTATCGGCACGCCCCCTTTTTCTCTGTGGCGCGAGTTCTGGGACACCCTGTATGTGTATTTGTTTTAATTATTTTGTTATCATTTTATATTTAAAAATTTATTAAGAACGCATAATAAATAAACATTAAATTATTAAGTACAAGCTTAACTAAGACAGCTTTTTGAATTCGAGATTTAATGATGACAAAGATAAAGTAAAACGCTTTAAAAAAACTGATAAATGTTTAACTAATTACAATTTCCAAAGAAAAAGCAAAGCTCTTAATACGAGTAGTTTTTATAAGAAAGCCTAAAATTTTTAGAGGAGAAATATCTAAAATATTTATTAATGAAAATGTATATTATATGTATTTTGAGGAAAGACCTTTTGACCAATACTTATAATTAGTTATTACGTCTAGAAATATCAAAAAGATATATATTCATTTTATGAATCAAAGTTCAAATTTCAATCATTATTTTATATCTTTACAAAACACTCTCGACGCCAAAATTAAAATTTAATTAACAAAAATTGTACACCAAACCTCTTTTTAGTTTTAATGAAAAAATTAAGTCGACTGCTGTTAAATTAAAATTTATTTCTCACGCTTTTTTTAATCTACAAAAAATTATACGCTTATGATGCTTTAACGCAGAGCAAAAACCACAAAAGATAATTCTGATAGTTCAAAATTAATTTGATTTTTAATTTTTTAATAAAAAATCGTAAAAACTCACCTGGGTAGCACTATAAATATAGTCGAACCTATTGCTATTTTCACTATTAAAAACATAAGCAGAAAGAAACTGCTGAAAGTTTCTATGTGCTGATGATATGATTTTTCTTTTTGTGGGTCTGTGAATGCTAAACTCAAGAATTTGGTGTTCTTGGACAACTCCCTGAAATTAAAAATAAAATTATTGTTAATACTATTAAACAAGAAAGTGTTATTTTCTTACTTGTGCCCGTCCCTATTAACTAGTTCTTTTCTTAACCTAATTTTAAAGTCTGCTGAATCAGTCCTACATCTATTTGTATTGGTGCCCTAAAAACAAAGAAAGATATATTTATTAAAAAAAATGTTATTAACTTACATTTGCTTCAACTTCTTTAACATCTGCAGTAATGTCAGCTATAACACAACTATCGTCTTCAGGGATTATTCCTCCTCCGTTTTGAACTTCCGATTTTTCAGGTTCAAACTGAAAAAATATATAAATTTCTTGGTATAATTGGAAATACAAATATAAAAATATACAAATATTGTTATATTAGCCATTACAGACAGCTTTACATTTTGATAATTGTTCTGTATAAGTAATAATGAAATAGGATTTTTGTGTGACTATTCCCTCCGTCTTAATTTCCACCAATCAAAAACGCGCAATTTTGAATTACAAATAGTTTCTAGGTGGAAAAACTGTATGACAGCACCTGTCAGCAATTTTTTTGAGTTTACCCGCGGCAAAACTTGACAGATGAGAAAATTGCAATTTATATTTTAATTGTACCATAAATAATTAAGATTGTAGTATTTTGTGATTAAATTTTCAAATTAATACCTACATATTTATTATGAATGCATGTATGATAGGTAATATATTTTGTATGCTATGTGTATGCAGAATAACTGTTACTCATGAAATAGTCTTGTCAAATACCATTCGGGCATCTAATTTTTCCTGTGAAAAAAAATCTAAAAAACACAATGCTAAGTAATATTTTTTAACAAAATGCATTCGTGCAGGTGCAAAAATCCTCGTCTTTGACTCGGATTTTTGTTGCCACCAGAACTCATGCTTCTTGTTAAAATATTACTTAATAACGTGTTTTTTTGTTTTTTTTTTCGAAAAAATTAGATGCCCTTATGATATTACTTAAGAGTAAACTCCCAGTTGCTACGACTGACAGTTGTATAAAATTGTTATAGGTATAAGGTTAAACATTTTTAATTTTAATTTATTAAAAATGTTTAATTACTTTTTATTTAATAAATGACTTGATTTATACGTCAGTTTTAAGACATCGTGTGCCTCGTTTTATTAAGAAAACTTTGCTGAACCAAATTTAGTATTTTTAAGAATAAAACTCCGGGGTTATTAGGTTTAATATGTCTGTGCGAAGTAAATAAACGTTACTTGCGACATACATATTTTCAGAACAAATAATATAATTACCAAACTGCATAAACATTTCTCATGAAAGCCAAATAAATCAGGCTTAATTGGGAGACTGAAATAATTTGGTATTGTGGTTAAGCATTTAACTAAATACGGATTGAGGTAATTTTATCAAATAATACTAACATAAAAGATGTGGCAAATGTAAATCTAATAACTTTAACATTGGTAAAGTCAAACTGTAAACCGAATGATGAAAAAATTAGTAGGAAAATATCCATATTAGGTTTTTGTGTAGGTGGTGTGGGTACTAAATCCAAGTTTGGAAACAAAACTTCTATAGGGATTTTTGTTAAGGGACGACTGGGTGTGGTCATTATAAAATTAATTAACAAATTATTCTATCCAACAAGAAGCTGTGCCACAGAAATAACGACAATTGTGAGTTTTAAAAATAATGCATTTTTTGTCAAAATAAGTTAAATTATCACTGGTTGATTAACACTACGTTTTAATCGCTTTACAGTTTTAACAACACCGCCATTAAAGTGCCAGAAGGTTGCCTCCTGTCACGATCAGGAACTGGACTAACAACTAGTTCCAGAACGAATGGCAAGAACATCAGTGGCGGCCCGTCAGGGGAGGCAGTGCCTCATCATAGAGAATTAAAAAATTAAGTATAATTTAAATGTTTTACTTTCTATAATATACTATAAATTTTTAATATTTGGATTACATGAATTGTGAAATAGTCAATAAAACTGATTGATTTTATACGTGGAATACCCAGCAAAATTTAAATTATTTGAATTTGAAACGACCGCAATTTAAACTAATATTTATAGCTAGATGATTGGCTCAGAAGCATGCCTGAACTAATTTAGACTCACGATTGGCGTTAGCCTTGTTGTCTCGTTCTATTACAATGCGATATCATAGTTGTCTCCTTCTCTCGTATTAGCATACGCGAGGCAGGCACGCCTACATCCAAGAAAATAAGCAGGTATTGTGGTAACACTGTTGCCGAATTTTAGATAAATTATACTTCACACGTCAATAATAAATGGTATTATTTTTCTTATAATAAATCGATTTATGGAAATTATATTTCTATTCCAAAATAAACATATTTTAACACTATCGCCATTTTGTAGCCATAACAGTAACCAATAAAATAAATACAGATTCCTTCTTTAGGTTTGTTTTGGTTATAAAATTCTGAACTGTTTAAAGAACAAATCTGTGGTTATTTACGCAATATTTTGTTTATTCTTTTTCTATGAGTTTGACTATTTTATGATTCTTTTGTAAAAGGTTTATTCTGTGGGTTTAGTTAATTGAAGTTGGTGATTTATGGGAATTTAGTCATTATGGATATTACGGTGAGAAATTGTACCGATATTAATACAATTGTGGATGGTGTACTATTATTAATTTAAAAATTAGGGCTTAAACCTAATGATTATATTAATAATGCTGCACTTTACCTCTACACCTTCACGTAGTTCTTGATGAATAATGAAATATTAATTAGACAAAAATGAGGTTTATTTAAAATAAACGTCATTTTTACAATAAAATATATTTCATTGACAAAGCAGGGGATTCCTTTCCCACAGTCTAAGTTTTTTACTTAGTTTTAAGTATAGGTTGTGAACTGCGACGTCAGTTGGGTTTAAAAAAATTTCTTTGCCTTTAAATGAGGGCAAAACCATGCCTCTGCCTCCCCAAAATGAAATGTCATGGGCCGCCACTGAAGAACATCAAGGCCACAGACAGTCAAGGGTCTTTATAAAGGATCCTACAAACTGCAAAAGAATAAACAGATTTATAAAACTAAACAAGAACTAACTAAGAGCCATCATAGAAGTCCTAAAGGGAACTGAATAGTCAAATATCACCTGCACAAAACAGGACTCATCAACGAGACGGATTGTAGGTACTGCAGCGAAGTAGACGAAACTACCTAGTCTGAGAATGCGACGCTCTAGTAAATTGCAGGCTAAGACACCTCAAGTACAGGATCTAGAACAGGAGGAAATACAGTTTGCCAAACTAGAGCGGGTCTTAAAAGCTGCGGGCTCCTAAGATAAGGCAGAGCTCCGCCAAAAGGGGGTTTACCGCCTGAAGAGGCTTTAATCAATCAGACCAAATAGTCAAATTTTTAAATAATGGTTTTATTTTTTAATTTTGCTTTTTATTTCATATATTTACGAGCAGCGTCTGTTTTGTCAATATTTTCACCGTAATTCTTAATCAAGAACACATGCCGTGCCGTATTTTTATATTTTCTCTCTGAGTTGCTGTGGAAATAACAAGACACAATACAAGAGTTTCTTTCAAGGATTGCCAACTCTCCTTCGTTTTGTTTACTGTAAGTACTTACTGGTTTGAGGACCTTCACAATGAAATATGTCTTTAGACCGGCTATTCTTAAGGCCTCGTCCCTCTTCTCCCCGAACGCTGCCTCGACTTCGAATTCGCCACTTAGAAAAGAAAGCGTGGTCGCTGATATGTGAACTCGACTGAAAAAAAAGAAAATTTATTTTATAAATTATTCATACAAATAAATCAAAGAGTTTATGATATACCCTTAAATAGCCGTTTTAAGGCTATCGGTAAAAGCTATTTTATGTAATGTCCTTACAAATCAAAATTCATGTAAAATTACAAATAAAAACAAAACCTTTTTAATACATAAAATTAATTTTAAATAACGAATAATAATAATAATTACACCAACACATTACACCTTACGTAACGTTTTTTTTTAAGGAAAAAAGACGATATTATAAATTTATAAAGTCTATTCAAATCCAAGCTGGACTAAATGTAAACACAATCCTTCGAATCGACCAATAAGAACTCACAATCCGAGTCACACCAATAAGAACGAGTTATCATGCGTCTGGGCGTTTTTGTTTAGTCCAGCTTGAATTTGAATACACTAGGTTTTGGGTTCCGGTTATTAATATTAATATACGGGTTTCCTCGAAATATTGCAACTAACTAACAAAAAACCATGCAAGTATTAATCAATCAATTAATGAATTAAGTTTACCCGGCCACACAGTGTGTCTCATAAGCTAAAATATTCAACATCTACTAACGGTTCTTATGGCAATAAATAAAATAAAGAAACTGTAGTTTACTTTTTGATAGTTTGTGTTAGAAAATGAAAAGTTTTAAATTTATACTTTAACCCGTACCTACGGTCGTTCATTTTAAATGTCATAAGTCACTCCAAATCAAAATTGGCTGTATAAAAAAATTAATTTTAACCTATTTTAACTATCAAAAGTACCTTTAAATAAAAATCGGCTGGATTATAATTAGTGGGATTTTTAAGTCAAAAATAACTATAAATATTAATAATTATAATATCAATAATAACAATAATTATTAGACCGACTTAGAAATAACGGCTTTGTAAGTAGGGGACAGGAGATAATCAGGATACTGCAATTTTACTGCTCGTACCTTGCAATCTTTAGCCGGAAGGCTTTGGAGGCTATATATAATGTTCCTTTTTTAAATTATTTAGTTTAATTTTATCGCTTATTATTATTCGACCAGTAGTTACAGATTAAATTTACTTTGTTATTACCCTGCTTAAAATACCCCATAGAGACCCTGTTCAAATCGATAGATATTTGTATCGGAATGTATGGTGTTTCTATAGGGTGTATCGGTATGTATAGGACCCCTAGTTGGGATTTATGGTTGTTCTATAGGGATATCCACCCTTGATTTATTTGCTATTGGTTTCAATGGGGAAAATACACATAAATGTAGAAATAAGTTTTTCCCCCATAGGACCCCATAGGTTTTAATAAAATTTTGTCAAATGTTTTATGGTTGTTCTATAGGGATATAACTATATATCCTTCATTGAGTTTTGCTATCGGTCTCAATAGGGAAAATGTAAAAGTTATGGTGTGCCTATAGGTAATTTTCTATACATTTTCTATCGGGCTGTACCTGGAAAAAACCATGGACAAATGCACATATTGAATCCGATAGCGCCCGATAGATTATTTTATATAGGTCTCTATAGGGTATTTTAAGCAGGGTACTGACCAAGTTTAGGTTTTCTATTTTTGAAACATCGTAAGAAATAGTATATTGTTTACCGAGCGTGGAATCACAGCAATTACTCCCGATGATAAAAGTTTTCGAGCGTGCCGATAGGCAAGTGAAGGAATTCATTGAGGGAGTAATTGCTATTTCACGCGAGGCAAACACTTTTTAGTCGAGTGGTGCTAATTATTAATTAATTTTTGAAAAATTAAAAAAGTAACGTTTAATTAAAAACGGACGTTTACACTCCTAAAGTGGTTTCAATTTAGTTAGTATGCTTACCTACTTCAAGTTATTTTAGCTAAACTCTATAATTTAAAAATACCCAATTTAGGTAGGTACCCGCAAAAAAACTTGTGTCAAAATTATATAAATCTGACGTTTAATTTAATTCTGACGTTTACATTCAAAGTCAATCATCACACTGTAGCGTCGGCATGGTAGAGGTAAGGAATGGAATATTTGAGGAGGTGCATTCCACACGGTGCGCCTAAACGAAGTTTAAGTCACATAAAAATGCCGCCAAAAACTGATTTTTGTTTATTTCAAAGTCTACCTTTGACAGAGTACACATTTATACACCGACTTTAATAAAATTAGAGTAAATTATTAAGAAGACTTAAAGAATACTTTTTAATACTGTTCACATCATTTGATATATACAGGGTGAGCCAAAAATCGCTTAAGCGTAAATTCATGATTTTGACATAACACGCAAAAAAAGATTTATCCCCATTTTTTTAGATATTTCTACGTTTATCAGGTCACAAAATGGCATTTTTATTAACCTTTTATAAAAAAAATTGATTTTTAATTAAATAAAATATCGCTTAGAGAATATTTAAAATGTTGTTTAATTTAGGCTTTTTAGTAGTTTTAAATTTTGAACGAAAAACTGGTTAAAGTTTTTTGATCGGCACTCTGGAGATTTAAAAACGATATTTACCAAAATTCTAACTGCTTTTTTAAAATTTGTTAAAAAAATTTTTTATTAATTATTTGTTTATCGCAAAGTCTACCTTTGCCAGAGTACACATTTGTACACCGATTTTTATTGATTGCAGTTTCTTGTTCGGGACCCTTTGGTAACTTAAAAATGAAATTTACCAAAATCCTAACTCCTATTATCGAAATTTTTTAAAAATTTTTATTTATCTTACCTTTGACAGAGTACACATTTGTACACCGATTATTATAATATTGGAGTATATTGTTAACGAGAATACTGTTTTCATACTGAGCACATCATTTGATTTATACAGGGTTGGCCAAAAATCACTTTTTTAAATAGTAAAAAGCATAATGCACAAAAAATAATTATCTCCAAAAAATGTTATTTTATTTAATTTTATTCAAAATCAATTTTTCCTATAAAGTCTTGATAAGAATCCCATTTTGTAGCCTGATAAACATAAAAATATCTAAAAAAACATGGGTGGGTATATATCTTTTTTGCGTGTTATGCCAAAATCATGAATTTACGCTTTTGCTTTATTAAAAGAAGCTATTTTTGACAAACCCTGTATATATTAAATGATGTGCACAGTATAAAAAAGTATTCTCCAAATCTCCTTAACAATATACTCCAATATTATAAAAATCGATGTACAAATGTGTACTCTGTCAAAGGTAGACTTTAAAAATTTAAAAAAAAATCATGTATTTTCAAAAAATATCGAAAAGAAGAGCAGCTAGGATTTTGGTAAATATCATTTTTAAGTCACCAAAGGGTCCCGAACAAGAAACTGCAATCAGTTTTTGGCGGAATTTTTATGCCGAAACTTCGTTCAGGCACACATTGTCCATATTAGGTATTTTTGAGCAAAATGTAAAAAACCTTACACGTGAGTACTAACGCATATCAGGCCAACAGAATACTATAAACGAAATATATAGGCATAAGTAAAACATTTATATACCTACCTTGATTAAAAAGGTATAGCTCCAATTTTAAATTACATACGTATAAGCCGAGTTCTGCATGATATAATGATATAATAGATAAGGCAAGTTTTGGAACGACAGTCAATTTGTAAAAGAATTTTTAATAGAATAAGCTGAGTTTTAGGATATTATAAACTTTTCAGGGTATAGGGGGATACATGTTAAATGTACAGACACCACTAACTCATTTTTATTAAAAAGTTGATAAGCTGAGTTTTGGAATGGACCTCCTCATTTCTTACCTGATTAGCGGGAGGAAATGAAAATATATACAGGCGAAGGAGTAATATTGTTCACAGCGCGCTGTGAATCTTATTTCGGTGTAGCGGGAGAAATGAATATCATTAATTATTAATAATTGCGAATACAATCGGCGCATTATCAACCACTCGACAAAAAATTGTTATTTTCTTCTCCTATTGCATAATATTAAAATTATTTGTTTTTTTACATAATGATAACCATTATTTATTTATTTCCGCTCCGCCTAGTAACGGAAATAAGGATTTCATTATTCCTAATAGGAATAATGAAATCCTGGGAATTTCCTATTATTAGGAATCAGTGATTGGCCGATTTCATTATACACTTTGATTTGGACCAATCGGGTCACATCGTAGTCCCTGGTATGCGTAATTAAAACTGACATCAGTTAAATGATCAAACCTTATTTTTTATTTCTCCTTTATTTTTGTTTGTTTCTTTTCGTAAATATTAGTCTACAATATATCTATTAACTATTATTTAATTTTATAAACATTAAAAAAATAAAAATAAAATTTTAAAACCCCATAAGGTTTTAATTTATTTAGGGGACCAAACTTAAATAGTAAAATTTGCATAGAAAAAAACACTAATTTGTTTTATAAACATTTATTGAAAAATGCCTCATGAAGAGAGTCTAAAGAGAATGATTTTTTGATACTTTGGTAATTTTAAAAGTCTGAATATAGACCTATAAAACTTTAACATTTAATTTAATTTAATCATAGTAATTTATAAATGCTTTTTCCTCCCAAGTGGTGTATCTGAGCGATGCAAATCAATTCATTAAAATCCTATAAAACAAACTTTAATTAAATTTTATATTTAAGAATATCAAGTTTTAAAGCTTCGTACATTTTTTAAATAATTTTTAATTTTGTATAAAAATTTATAAATAAACAAAAAAGATTTTGGGACAATGAAGTTTTGGAAAATTTTTAATTTTTAGAGCAAAAATATGCTTGAGAGTATTAAAAAACTTATTTTTAAGCGCATGACAATTTTCATATTATATAAAAACACTTCAGTTGTCAAATGCCATACAATTGTGAAATGAAGAAAACTGCTTCTATATCGGATTTAAAGGGTTGTTAGTCCATTTTTAATGGATAAATTTTGATTTACACGCCAATGGTTACCTACTCTCTATTTTTTTATAGATGTTATTCTTTACAAATATTTATTTTAAATAATTTTCAGATAATAATAAGTATTTGTCGTAAAACAAGTATTGTAT